TTGGATTCACCTAATATAATGATTTATCATTTGTTCCTAATTCAGTAAAGAATTAATGGCCTTTTTTGTCCAGTCAGTACATCTTAATGTGAAGAGACAAATCAACTTTCGGTGTTGTCTTTAGAAAAGGGTGCAAATTTTATTTACAAACCATAACCATCATGCAAAACTTTACTGCAGAGCAGCTATCACAACGATTCTCAGTTTTTCACCGTCTCTTCCGTCTTAATTTTGTTCTCTGACTGTTTTAAGTTATGCGAGGAGTTGGTAGGAGTCATCTTTTCCTAAATTTAGGTTCAAATTAGTTTAATTGACACTTTTACAAATTTGCGAACGCTTACATCAAGAAATGAAATGAACGAGTTGAGCACTTGCAGGAAGCACATATTAACCGCCACACTGATGTGCAATGTGATGGCGCCAAGGTACATCCAGAACGGTCCAAGAGCAGCGTAGAATTTGTGCTCATCGACAAAATGACCGGGAAGATCGCTAGTGAATTTGTTTCGATTCCCTAAATAAATGAGAGATGCGATAGAATGAAAGACGAAGATTCTTACCGACTGCCATGATCAGAACAATGAAGACCGCGATAATGTCAGTAAAAACCATGAGAGCAGTTACAATCGTAATGTGGGCATTTACAAGCGATTTACGCTCGGTGCTCACTCCAAGGATCTAGAATGATAGGAAAATGATTTGTAGAACAGAAAAATTCTTCAAAAAGGCCAAGACTGCTGTAACATCGTTGCATTTCATGAACCTCCTTTTCACCATTTCTTTATGTTTAGGTTTTGCTCAAGCTTATCCCCTTCATAGCTTACTTATTTGTAAATTCGCTTGGTCATCACAAGTTCGCGAATGGTCGAAGTTTTTTGCTGTGAGGACACATAAAGCATCCAAAATCTTTATTCTTCTGATAATTGATTCCTTACTATATTCAAACACTAACTAGTTAGTAAAAATTAAAGCTATTTCTCTTTTCAGCCTCAACAAAAAGTAATTAACAAAAGTGTAATTCATTTCCAGTAACCACATCCAGTTCAACAACCATATAATTTCGGGTTTGGCGGGAATTTTGTTTTGTTAACGGCGCCAAACCAATGAGAATTAAAGTAGAGATTTCAAGAAGGGTTGAAATCCTTGAGAC